ATTGATCCCTAAATTATTCTTACATAAAGTAAGTCAAAAATTCTGCACAGCCAAATATCATGGTTATGGGTACGAAATCACAATTTTCTTTACTCCATGTTTGATTTTTCAGAGAGATAGCAACACGTCAAGTTGTAAGTATACAGTGGATGCTAATTGTATGCGCTATTTATTATTCTGTCATTCCTAATTCTTGCACAGGCTTTGGAAATTGAATTTGTGTCGCCCCTAAAGCATTCCTCAACTTGCTTAACTTTTCAATGTTTTTTCCCCCCCTTTTCCTGGGGTGGAAATGGCAGGGATGCCGACTCCCTCTGCAGTTACAAAATCAACAAGAACGCTTTCAGATGCCCTCTGGGAGCCACATATTAGCATCCTGTCACGTTTTATATGACATTTCAATTTTTACTGTGCTTCCAGAGTGAGGGAGGCAAAAAGAAAACAAAGAAAAACAGGTGCAATTTTAGCACAGCAGCAATGAGCAGCAGCCACTAGTGGTTCAGACTCATTTTGTGGTGTGATGGGATATATGCTGCTACATTATAACGGTTAGGTTTATCATTTTTATGGCGTAACCCAGCAGGGAGAACAATGTGATCGGAGGTTAAAACAGTCTCAAATGGCTCTCTCTATTTCCACCCAGTAGATATAGGACAGATATTTGAGTCCATCGTAATAGGCTAAGTCCTCAGTGACCTCTCTCTTGTTTAGCTCTAGGCCTTGGGTCAGTGAAGAACAAACTGTCTTTGCAAAGTTTACAACTGCTCACTTTGCACTTTTGCATTTAGATGTACTTTGCCATGATGCTATCTCGCTGAAAGAGAAATGGAGCAGTCGAGTACACAGAGGCATTGTGCATCTTTCCTTTGTTAAATATTTAATCAAGTGTTTCAAGGAGTTTACCACATTTGTTTACCACAATTTACCAGCAAGTACAATGTGGTTAGCCTAACGTGGCTGTTTCTATGTATGTGTGTGTGAGAGAGTGTGTGTCCCTGGGCTCTCTCTGGTGTCACAGAGGGTTGTTTCTCCTTAACGCATGCAAACAGCTCACATCACTTTAACGAGCCTTCTCGCCTCTGTCTTCCCTGATGGGAGCACTCCCATGATGCAGCCTGCTCCACACACTTGCACACAGGGTGGCTCAATGCTGAACTGATGGGTGCTCGGCTAATATTTCATATCACACTCCACACATCCAAAAAATGATGCAAACTTTGGACATAACCACAAAAGATGCATTTATTGTCTTTAAACGGCATACATGCAATTAAAACAACTCTCTGCCAACAAAGACTCACAAAATATTTCTGCTACCAACCTGATGAGAGTTAATTGATGTCAAAGAGTTTCTTCTGCACATAGAACTATTTCATTCACGGGATAAACAGATTGTCTCAATGCAGTTTTTCATTTAATACACAGTAGTATGCAGTTCTTTTGACTTTACCCTTAACTCATTTCACACTCTTGAGTAGTAGTTTATATTAGATAAACACTCTGGAGCATGCATTCCAGAGACAAAAAACACTGATGTTTTATATTAGCAGAGTACTGATGGTCATGGGCATTCAAAGAAATAATTAAAACAGTATGTATTCTCTCCTCTTATATATTCTGTCAACCCGCAACTGGGGATGCTAATTTATATTCTCTGTTTTGATATTCTTGCATATATTTGGTTTTCATTTAATATTACTGCTCCCACTGTATATGCAATCATTTTGCATAATTTGTATGGAGTAAATATATTTGTGGCAGAAATATATATCTTTATATTTAGATTTATTTCAATGATTGACATTGCACATAGTGGTATATGTACTGCACTGTACTTCATATACAGACAAATGTGTACCTGACAGAAAAGTATACATATAATATTTACATATATTCAGGCTTGTATTATAGTAGATGAAATCATCAAGACTTAATGTTCTGTCATCCGTCTATAATGACAATTTGTAATACACAGACTGAACTGGCAGTTACTGTAACATGTCAGCGTAACACATTGAAGATTAACCTACAGTTGCAGTCTATTAAACTGCATGATGCTAAACTCATTAGGCAGGCTTATTACACTATTTGTCTGGATGATTCAAGCCATGCAGCATCATCTTTCAGAACACTGTTGTCAGAGGTGCAGGGATTTGTAGCATACTTTGAGCATTAACATGACTTGCAACTGTAGCCAAGTCAAAGAGAGAGGCCTCACAGATTTCATTTTATTAGCCTTGCCTTCAGGTCTCCAAACAAACCCACTTAGTCTCCTTGACAGACACAGGAAGAGACAGATGGAAATACTGGCCCTGAGTCTCCTGTAAAGATCCTGCTCCTCCTCTTAAGTGAGACTAGAAGCTGGTCAGGACTGGAAAACCATGTTCTCATCACATATCACATGTGAGCTTGTGGTTGACACACATTCACACACATTGCTCACAAAACCACAGAAAGCATTTGAAAAAAAGTCCATGATTTAATTTATTTAGTTACTGATGGATTAACTCTTGAGGATGTGTGAATGTGTCTTGGAAATCTCACCTTCTGATTCAGATATTTCACCATTTTGTCAAATAGTCAACAGAAAGCTTCCTTTAACCTTGACTGTGATGTGCAAATGCCATCTCTCCTTCCTCACTAGTTCCCACTCTATCAGTGATGACATTGCAGTCTGAAACAAGCTTGCTCAGAAGAGAAAGAAACTGCTTTTAGAAGTCAAGGGCCCTCATCGTCTAATCTGTGTTGGGATATAGTGTCGTTTGTAGAGTCACACAGCAAGACCAGGTGCGCAGATCAACCTTATCTAATAGCTCTAGGGTGTGTGTGCGTGTGTGTTTGTGTGCATATTAGGTTCCATTATAAGAACAGGTTGCCTGGCTCCATATGTGCGCAGTGTGCGGGGAAGCTGGGAAAACAAGGTTCTCCGTGGCCCTCTGTGTTATTGCTACCTCCCGCCTCCCCGAGCCGTGTTTGAAGACAGGAAATACGAGTCAGACCGCAGTCCGAGGGGCATGTGGCAATGGTTTATACTCCGATGACCTCTGGCCTATCCTTTCCACCCCCGCCCGCTCTCTCACACCACTCCCCTGGCCCTCAAACACTCTCCCTTGAGTCTGAGCCCGAAAATAAAA